TCTAGTAAGTTCATGCAAATTGAAACAAAAAGCAAAACTTACATGACTGAAGCCTAGCGATTATCACAACTTAAAACCAAGGTCAATTTTTTACCGTAGAGATTAACTGTAAAACTTTGATCTATTATTGTGGCCCCTCCCTACCTTCGGGGGCTATGTTTCGAATTAATTTGAATCTGCATTATCTGAGAATATGCTTGCGTATTAATATCACTAATTTTGCCCCTGTTGACTTTGAGAAGATTCCATTGTAAGATATAATCCCCTACTGTGGCCCCACCCTACCCCAGGGACCATGATTTTAACAAATTTGACGCTATGGTAGAAAGCTTTTACTTAAGTTTCATTTTTTCCTGGTCCAGTAGTCCTTCAGAATAAGGTTATGGGGAAGAGTATTTATAGGCAATGCCTGTTGCCCTATTAAAATAAATACTGCTTTAAGAAGTGTTTTTAAAGAAACAACCCTATTTTTGGCTTTTTCATGATTATCTTTATTTTCATTTCAACAATATTAAATTTAAATTCTCTAATTTGCCCAAGGATGATTCGTGGCAAGTTTGGTTTGAAACTGTTTCGGTGATTATCGAAAGTCAAAAATTATAAAGACAACTGACAGACAGACAGACGACGGACAACAGGTAACCAGAAAAGCTCAGTTGAATCTTCGTTTTATGTGAGCTAAAATATTTTACATTACCATCAAATATATCCATCTACTTAGAGTAAGATGACTCAACAACTAATTTGTTTAACATTTTTTTTGCCTTTCAGGAGTTTTACTTTTTATATTATTATGATGTTACAAATCTAGATCCAGCTTTACTTTTCCAAAGGGAAGAAATTGGTAAAATATGTGGAATCAGCTTTATTTAATTCTTAGCACTGAGCAAATGATGAATGAGTGTGGTGGAAACTGATAGCCACAAAGATATTACAGTATTACTTATTAAGCAAAACTATAGAGTTACCGTGATAATAAAAACAAATAAAATCAACTTCTTATTGAATGAACAATACGCATCATAAAATATGTTATTATTAACTTCTGATGCTGTGAATATTAGCAGGCTGATGGATAAATGATTAAATATTAAGTTGCAATAAAGCGTAGATTTCCCAAATAAGCCCGAGTGTTGGATGATTGGCATTTATAAAAATGGTACATCGAATATTAAGGTTAAGTATTTAATCATAACGATTACTTTTTAAAAACTTCTACTCCGTCTATGTCTTATTAACTATTTATTTATTTATAATCGAATACTGACTAAAAGCGTTTCTGAAATGCATGTACCTATAAATCTCCCTTCAATTGTGGGTATTTTGAATTTAAATATACCCATTTAAACACAATAATGAAATAAACTATAAAATATTTATTAATAATTTTTGCAAATATGAATGTGCTGAGTGTTGTATAAAACATTCTCGCAAAAAATTATTTGAAGACCTTTTAATTTTTTTTTATAAGCTCCTCCTCCCCAAAATAAATTACAGCTACATAAAATACTTCCAAGAAGTTTCACTAAAAAAGAGAAAAAAAAACCCCATCCCACTGGGAAATATTAAGAACCTTCCGATATTTACATCAAATAATTTTTATACAATTCTTTCCCACTAAGCAAAATAATAGTATCTTTTTAACAGTAAAATAAAAATCTGAACATAATTTTAATTTTTTAAAATTTTATAGGCCTTGTTCCTTTTTATCATACTCCTTTTATCCACATTTCTTTTCTTTCAAAACACTCTGGAAGACATTTCAATTTGGCTAAATCTAGATACACTGTATATATGCATCATATAGATTCTGATTATTAAAAAAAGGAATTATTTCTTCAAATCATAGAAAAAAGCTGTATATCTACAAAAAAAACAAATCTGATAAAAATAAATTTTTGATGTATACAAATATAGAAAATTACGTGAATAATGTTCTAAATTGACGAGTTTTGAAAGAAACAACGGAAGTTTTCTATCACATAGATTAAACATCTATTCGAAACAATGGTTTGATAGATACATGTAGTTTATTAAAATATTTAATTTCGAATGCGTACAGGTAAGGGGTTTTTATTCTGTATGTTTTCTTTAATTATAATAAACACCTTGGGGATTTACTTTTTTGGATCTCTTTTTTTCCTATTTGACACCGGAATAAGATATTTTCTTACACCGAAATCATTTTTTTGTCTCAATTGTAGACGAAAAGAATATCAATTTTCAATCCTCTGAAAAAAATCTCGTTCAACTAAACATACTTAGATACGGATCTTCATTACGCTAAGAAACAAAATTTATACCTAAGTGAATCAAATCCCTAACGATGATAAAAGATCAATTCTCCTCAAGTCGGTTTCACATTATTACACAGAATATGTATCGCTTGAGACACTTATCTGGTTTGTCTTTAGGACTTGTGGCTAGTACACATATCCATTTAACACTACTGTTATCGATTTTAAATTGTAGCATATATAACAAAAATGCCTTTGGTAAAAAGAAATTGTAGCAATTTCAGACAACCTCAGATTTTTGCATAAATTTATCTTTCAATGCTCTAAAATTACGTATAAACGTGTACTAGTACATACCATGAAGTATGAAAACTGATGGGTAGATAATGTGTGTTATCCTCTGAAAACATGAAATCCATGCGTAATATAAAAAACTCTCAAAAGGGAATTTTTTCGTATGCGTTTTATACGGTCTTTTAAATCAAACTCCCGGAAGTGAGTGATGTATTAAATCTATCGTTCGGAAGAATTCCTATCTATTATGGCATAAAAACAAATCCATTCCACCTAAAATAAGTTATAAAACAATGATAGTTTATAAAATTCATTGCAGACTTTAGATTGAACTTAGCAATATCATCTATTTATGCTTAAAAAATGGCTTCGCTGCACTGAGTTGCAACACTGTCAATATTGCTATACATATTTTTATCCAAACCATTCCGCTACCATAAACTGAAATCGTGATACACAGTAATAAAGAACTCTACCAGAAGCAAACACAGGCTAAAAACAAATCATAATTATAACCTTTTCTTGTATCAAATTACCCAATTTTCAAAATCATGCATACTTCTTAATATAAACCAATCAACATTAAATCAATTCATCGACAAACGACAAAAATCACATTACTATATTCTATTCTTCAGAATGTGAACATTTTTATTATGTAATGAAACAAATTCTGTTCTGCAAATGCTTTTCCATCATATTTAAAGAAGAAAATGGTGGTTCGCTCGGTACCGAGAACTGTCTCAATCAATTTTAAGCTCTATCAAATGACTTTTTAAAAATGAAAAGACAACAATTTTTATATTCATTAACTTGTTTGCTTTCTACAAATAGCATTTCAAAGGAAAAAATTCCGGTATTTTATAACAAATTGTAAAATGTTAAAATTTGCTTTGTCATGACCTATAATTGCTTAGATGTGATGACATGAAAACAGATGAGAGAAGTTTATTGTGAATTACTAGAAAGAGGTAAATACAAAATTTACAATATAATAACTTGTCTCCACCCAGTAAATTAAAACAATTTAGGAAAGATGCATGTCTTCAGAGAAACAGAAATTTCATTGTGTTATAACAATTTTAAAATAATAGTCCTTATATTTACAAGAGCGATCGAAATGGAAACTAGAAAGAATTGGTAGTATTCTATATATGCCGCACCGTCCTTGAAGAGGTAGGACTCCATTGCCTTCATATGAAATAAATTTATTGATCTTGTCATAAAGTGTCTGTTTGGGAGAAGTTTCTCCGACACTGTGAAAAATCACATCCAATATAACACATTCTGTTCTTTTGATTTGTTTCAAACATATATCATTGTACAGCACAAACCTCAGATCTTTTATCCTTATTCGGAATTATAAATAATTTCATTAGATGTGATTTTTTTTAAACCTAATTAATAGCACCTTCGCTATTATAATTTTTTTTTTTAAAAACTTATAATAAAAATGTTATGCATTATTTTTGAAATAAAAACAGAGTTAGAGAAAATCTTTTAAATCAAGGATCAAGTTAATTGATTTTGTTGAAATATCAACACATTTTAATTAAGATAGCCAGCCTAATCTTTCTATTAGGTCTCTTTTTAGGATTTACTTTAACCTGTATGAATCTCAATAGATCTGATATACATTCTCACAACACACATGAAAAAAAAACTGATGAAAGATCGTATAAAATTGCTCACTCAATTGACATTGTACAACTCTTTAAGATAACTTCCACAGTGAAACTGCGAATGAAGGGTGGATTTTCTGGGAAAAAGATCACAAAATAATCACATTTGATTTCGGTGTAAATAAATCGCTATGATAAGATGATAGATTCTCTCAAGAAAATAATAATAAAAAGTGGTCTGGTGATAATTTATTATGTTAAAATTCAAAATAAATGAATTGATTATAGGCAGTGTCGTAATGTGGTGATGAGATTAACCACATATTAAGACGATTTTGCATATGGATTGATTGATTAATTGTATGTTGTTTTACGTCCCGTTTGTGAATTTTTCACTCATATAGAGATGTCACCACATACCGGTGAAGGGCTTCAAATTTAGACCTTTACTCGGCACTCGGGGCCATTGAGCAGTGAGGGTTCTTTATCGTGCCAAAGGTTTTTAAGGTCTCATCCGAAGGACCCGCAACTTTGACTTCAGAGTGCCGAGCGCTTGGCCAAGGAACAGTTGCTACCTATTTCTTTTCGACTTACAATGTAGGTCAGTCGAGGCCGAGATTCGAACACACGACATTCCGATTACAGAGCGAGCGCTCTACCAACTGACAAGTGGTATGAAAAACGCAAATTAAACTAAAAAGCTAGAAATTCTAACAATCATTCACTTATCAAATATAACTAAATTAATCAAAGTTGTCACCTTAACAATGAAAGAAAAATGCTCCAAGATGGCACTTATTAATCATGAAGAGCAAAGGGTAATTCTTTATTAATGTTCTTATTTCAGGTCCATAGTCAACGAGTGATTTCACAACGAATTGTCTCTCATTCACGTAAAATCAAAATCATTAAACGAGAGAAAAGGATAGCTATGACTTTGTTTATGATGGTTGGTAAGTATAATTTTATAACAACGACAGATACATTGTAAATTTTTACTCAGGTTTTAATGCATTATTCTGACGATCATTATCTTTATCGAATAATTACGTTATCTTTTAAGCTTCATTTGTCATTGCCTGGCTACCCTATTCGGTTTATGGTTTGATATGCATACTAGGATATAGCAACGACATCCCCTTAATATGGCATACCATTCCATCAGCGTTTGCAAAAGCATCGATTCTCTGGAACCCAATGATTTATTCCTCACGCAGTAATGCTATGAAGAAAGCTTTAGGAGAAACATACCCATTTCTTCGATGGATGATTCCCAGAAATAAAGGCCAACAAAAGCTCCCAGGTCAGACGACACTTATCCAGATGAACACGTCTAATGGATCGGATGCAATCTTTGTTCAATCGTTGTGTGACAACAGGGTCATATCTACGTCTCTATAATTTGACCGAAGGTCATAGACGATTTCCACTCATTAAGTATTGAAAAATGTCCTTTTAACCGCTCAGGGTGTTTAACAAAAATACCCTGCATCTCTTCTATTCCTTTAATTAAGAGTGTCTTCATTACTGACACATAAAAAGAATGCATGAGTCTTAATTGAATTATACTATTATATTATTAAAGAAATATTCTGTGAAGATATAGAAAAAAAATCACTCTATTTTCACTTATATAATCTCACCTGTGCTTTGTTGTTATACATTGTATTTATATTTTTTAACTTTATATCAAAATGCATGCATTTTACAGTACTATTGTTATTACATGTACTTGTCATGACGTTGTGCTATTGATATTGTATTACGCTCGAGCATATATTTTCCATTCATATTGCCTTAAAGGTGTATATATATATATATATATATATATATATATATATATATATATATATATATATATATATATATATATATATATATATATATATTTTTCACTTTTTTTTTAAAAAATGTACATTAGAAAAACGCTTCAATTGGTTCTGTTGAATATTGATATTTTCTTCTCGAATTATGACCTTGTAAAATTTAAAAAGTTGTCAAAAATAGACAATTCTAATTTGTCAATTTCGTGAGTTTTTAACACGATGGAGGCTCAGAAAGCTGAACTCCAGTCCGAAGTGCCAATATAATTGATATGTGTTTAATTTATTTCAACGAATTGCCATAAATCTCTTTGTACTTTTTGTCATCTTACTGAACAAATACATGTCGATTTCTATAAACTGTTTGACTTGAATATCAAATAAAAAATACTGATAACATTCTTTGACTTATTTTTATTTAATATTATCAACTAACAATTTATGTACAATTAATAGCATTACACAGCCAAAGAATTACATTAGTACAATAATAATAAGTATAGAGTTTAAATATAGATTCAACAATTTACTCAACTTACTTTTCGTGTTTCATTTTTAAAATTGTACTTATAATTTACCGAGCACTGTGGATTTATATTTCAATATATATATATATATATATATATATATATATATATATATATATATATATATATATATATATATATATATATATATATATATATATATGCTGCATCTGAAACCATGCTTCACGAATGCGATCAAAACCTCATAAACATGTATAACAAAGCAATGATCGTGTCGTGACCTTAGATTGGCTTTTAATTAAAAACACTTAATAAGGAAATGAAAGGTGGTAAAAATATCACTAAGAAAGTTAACATTCATATTGTCTCAGTAATTGGTAGATTTAGTTCAAAGGAAACTTGTCAATAGAAATAACTGGAACTGGCGTTTTTGGTTTATTTATAATTATCAATTGTTGTAGAAATTAAAGTAGGTCGATCGTTTGTTCGTTTGTTTTTTAATTTCAAATTTTTCACTCATATTGAGATGCCACCATGTCGGTGTAGGGTTGCAAATATGGACCTGTACTTGGCACTTACGGCCTTTCAGCACTGAGGGATCGTTTTCGTGCCAGCAGCTACTGCGACACGGAACTCGATTTAATGGTGCCATCAGAAGGAGCGGTCTCCGCGTCACACAGTGGATTCAAACCCGCGCCATAAGGATCAACTCCTTACTCAGCTTCTCTTAGGCAAACACTCTAACCACTGTACCATGCTGGCGATGAAACTGAAGTAGATGTTTGACAATAAGATATAAAACCGTCATAATTGTTCCTGTGAGACCCAAGTTATATAAAAATTACTTCCGCGACATGCCTTGAGGTTAGTTTTAAAATGTGATAATATTTATTGTTAGCAGACCTATTTTTGTATTCATATGAAGCAGAATTTGTTCAAAATCTTACACATGAGAAAAAGAAATCTCTTGCTGTGGCCTTCAACTCGACATTTAGATATTTCGACGACGTATTATCAATTAAAAATAGTTATTTCCATTCATATGTCAATACGATATATCCCAGTGAGCTTGAAATAAAAGATACCCACAGAGTCTGCCACATCTGTTTCATATTTGGAATATTTTACAAGAAAAAGACGTTAATGGTAATCGAACAACCAAGCTTTATGATAAACGTGATGACTTCAACTTTTCAATCGTCAACTTTCCTTACTCATGCAGCAATATAACCTTATCATCTGCATATGGGGTGTATATCTCTCAGTTGATTCGATACGCAAAAGCATGCTCTACGTATGAACAATTTTCAAAACGAAGTAAGTTATTGACAAAGAAGTTGATGAAACAAGAATATCAACAGTCTCGTTTAAAGTAATCATTTCGTACGTTCTATGCTCGATACAATGACCTTATCAGCAAATACAATGTATCATTAAGTCATATGCTGCCTGAAGTTTTTCATACTAATTGCTGGGTCATTATTTACATATTGAACTGTCGACGGACTTTCCGTTATTTCCCGATCATGACAAGGAGCTCACGGCGGGTGTGAGCGGTCTGCAGGGGATGCTCACTCCTCCATGGCACCTAATCCCACCTCTGTTTTGGAGGTCCGTGTTTGCTTGCTCCCAATTTTTATTGTTTTAATGGACTTTGCGCTTGAATACTGTTCGTTATCTCCATATTTCATGTTACCTGATCGTCTTTTGACTCTTCAGTGAGGGCGCATAAAGGACTACATGATTTTTCCTGTAATGAGAATAAGATTTTGAAAGGCAGCATTCTCTAACACGATATGCTCTCATAATATGTTGAAGCTGCACCCGTTAGGGCGAGCGCAGATTCCTACCATCTTTTTAAATTTAGATCCGCCTCTTCAAACTGCACGTGACATTTGGAACGTCTAGACTTTGACTTAACCTGACGTCGTGTGTAAGTTGCATTACCATAAAAAAATCATTTGGATCAATGTGCAAAGTCCGAATTTTCTTTTCGCCCAGACGTGGTCGGTATTAGATCTCGCTGCGCTCTCTATAAACTCAAAATCATGAAACTACTGCGCTTCACAGGTCATAGGTTCCATAACCAGTGCCAGCTTGTAACCTTTTTTTCTCAAACTTGAGTTCCTTCATTTTTTTCTCAAACCCGAGTTCTTTCATTTTTTTTTTATTTTCAAGAGACATTTGGCTTGCCAAGTGCCTCATGAACAATTAAAAAATTAAGGTATTGGAAATCGAGAAAGTCTGTTACTAAGCACAGTTAGGGAACTTGTTTCTCCAATTATAGAAACATGGACTTTTACATTTAAGGTTCAATTTGAAACGCGCTAAGCAACCAATCAGAATCGTCCTAGGTGTAAGCAGCCAATAAGAACATTTTTGATCACTAACTTTAATTGTGCATTCAATAATTAAAATTTTCAAAATGGTCATCGTTGCCAAGGAAACATGTAACAAGAGACCCATGGGCCACATCGCTCACCTGAGCACTTTGGCTAAGAGTTCAGAATTATATGAGTGGTATCAACCTTCCCCTAAGGTGAGGGGGCATGATTTGAACAAACTTGAGTCTACACTGCCTGAGGATGCTTCTATATTTCTTGACAAATTATGGCTTTAGAAGATTTAAAAAAAAATTCCAATACGTTTTATCTTATTTGAATCTACACTACCTGAGTATGCTTCCATATAAATATGACCAATCATGACTTTGCTGTTATGGAGATGATTTTTTAAAGATTTTTCATAAGTATATCTATATAAACCTTTGAACGTCCATTGTTGCCCCACCCTACTACCTGTAGTCATGATTTTAACAAACTAAAATCTACACTACCTGAGAATGTTTCCTTATAAATATGACCAATCATCGCTTTGCTGTTCTTGAGAAGAAATTTTAAAGATTTTTTATAAGTATATCTTTGTAAACCTTTGATCGTCCATTGTTGCCCCACCCTACTCCCTGTAGTCATGATTTTAACAAACTTAAATCTACACTACCTGAGAATTTTCCTTATAAATATGACCAATCATCGCTTTGCTGTTCTTGAGAAGAAATTTTTAAAAGATTTTTCCTACGTTTATCTTTGTAAACCTTTGATCGTCCATTGTGGCACCACCCTATCCCCGGGGGTCATGATTCGAACAAAATTGAATCTACACTACCCGAGGATGCTTCCTTATAAATATGACCAATCATGCTTTGCTGTTCTTGAGAAGATTTTTAAAGATTTTCCTATGTATATATATGTCCATTGTGACCCCACCTACCCCGGGGGTGATGATTTGAACAAACTTAAATCTACACTACCTAAGGATGTGTGTACAAAAGTTTCATTTTTGAAGGCCCAGTGGTTCTGGAGAAGATTTTTAAAGACTTTTCCTATGTATATCTATGTTAAACGTTGATCGTCCATTATGGCCCCGCCCTACCCCCGGGGGTATGATTTGTACAAACTGAAATCTACACTACCTGAGGATGTGTCCATATACGTTTCATCTTTCCTTGCCCAGTGGTTCTGGAGAGGAAGATTTTCAAAAGATGCAATTCATTTTTCACTAATTTGAAATTATCTCCCCTTGGAAGAAGGAGAAGCCCTTCATTTGAACAAACTTGAATCCACTTAACCCAAGAAACTTTGTGGCAAGTTTCGGGGAAATTGGCCCAGTGGTTCTTGAGAAAATCCATCCATATTTCATATACATGAATAAAACTCCATCTAAAAATACTTCAATAAAAGAATTGATTTCAGCTGGTATCAAAAACGTTTCTGATACCAGCTGAAATCATTTGTTTTATTGAAATATTTATTACATGGAGTTTTATTCCTGTATATGAAATATGTTGTAGCATGCCAACCCTCTCTATCTCTCTCTCAAAATCCACAGTCTGCAAAATGTTAAAGTTTGGTTAATGTTATAAGAATCGTGTATTAAATAAAGAATTAGAGAAAAGCAAACAAACCACCACCACCAAAAAAAAAAAAAAAAAAAGATTATGGACGGGAAGAGGTAATAACAAACGAAAAGACGCGCAACGTTACCATTTTCAAGATGTTTCACCTGTAGTCTTGTCCGCCAATTTTCTCGTAGCTGGCTCGAACAATCCAAGCAAAACAAATAATCATTTTTGAAGCATAGAATCTTATTTTTGGATGTCGTCGGTCCTACAACAGCACATACACACACAATCTCTCTCTCTCTCTCTCTCTCTCTCTCTCTCTCTCTCTATATATATATATATATATATATATACCGGGTTGTTCGGTAAAATCGTGGATAAG